ATTGTCTGATTTCGTAACATTATCTGGAAATAAAAATAAATGTAGATTATATGGTGTACGAACTGAGCATTCTATTTTAATTATTTTTTTATTGTCGTATGCGCAATTGCATATAACAATAAAAAAATATTAAATTTAATGAATACTTATTAATTACGTGAGTACGTAATCACAAAAAGTAAAAAATTGATTTTTTTATAATAGTATCTAAATAATTCGTTAAATTCAGTATATTTTTTTGTTATATGCAATTGTACAGTTAATTAAATTAATAGAATGCTCAGTTCATACACCATAGTGTATTTACATTTACTTTTATTCCGAGATAATGCTACAAAATCAGATAATTTTTTTATTAAATCGTTAAAGGATGACAACAATATTTATTTTGTTAACTTTTATATTTTAAACAATATAGTACGTGAAGTCATCAAAGATTAAGTACCAGATTGCGCCGGCCTGAGAAACGCGCGCCAGCCCTGATCTATGCCCTGAGCTATGCACACGCGCGCTCATTCGTCACTTTTAATCTGATCCACTATAAAAACTATTCGTCGCACGCAATTTTGCTAAAGGAAAAAGTTGTTTCTTTTAGCATAAAGAATCATGTAGTATACTCCAAATGCGGGAGTTTTGGGACACCCTGTAGATTCACGCATCTATATATGTAATTAAATTATCCAAGAATTACATATGCAATCGAGATTTTAAAATTAAAACTATTTATATGACAATATAGTAACATTCATTAACCAGATCTATCATATTTTATGTCAAAATTCCGTGTTTATCATCACTTATATCATCATTTTAGTTGCAGGTTTCATCCCATTATAGAAGTTAAGCAGCATCGTCCAAGTAGGATGGGTGACCATTTTAAAAACATGCAATGCTACAAAATGCAATGATACAAGATAAAAAATGTTTCATTACTTTCTTTCTATTTTTTTTTATTTTTTTCATTTATTTTCTGTAAGAGGTATCACGTATATTATAGATTTTCACGATCTATATGACTGTCTGGGATACACTTATGCATGCCCTACATGATATACTGTTTTTGAACTATTTTCATGCTATGGCTATACTGCGGGATATTCTCCAGTACATACTAGGGATTAGGTTAGTGAGCGATAGTAACTAAGTACATTACAGATCTAAGTACATTCCACAGTATTCCACAGTATATCGCAGTATGTATTTCGAATGTTCGGAAAATATCTCGAATATACGTATATCCCGTGGAACGTTCTTAGAGTGCTATTAGAATATTTGTTAAATTTTGAAAATCTTCTTTAATATTCTGTATATAGATAATAATTTTGATTCAATGTATTTATGTTCTAAATTTCGTCTATAGAAATCTGTCTGAATAAGCTTTTACTATTTACAAATGTTAATATTTTATTTTTATAAAAAATTCAGTAAATATTGAGTATATACATAAATACATTACATAATCTTTATTTATATATTTGTAAAATATATAAATAAAAATAATTTTTAATGATTTTATATATATATAATAAAAAAATTGTTCCGTTTTTAATATTTTACGAAAACTTTTATTTATTTAAACCTTAATTTTTACTTTTTCAACACTTTTATTTAGTTTAATATCTATTGCAAAATGTTCAAAATATATAATATTAGAAGACTTATATAAGCAGCATTCATAAATATTTACTTTTTTTATAATCCATATATAATATGCACACATGATTAGTAATATATAATAAGTTATTATTAATAACAATTACTTATATAATAATATTCTTAACAATAACTTTTACTGAAATTAGTTTTGTGTTAACTATTTAATTTTAAAGTAAATCATTTATACTCTAATTTTATCGTTTAATATGTTCACATGAAAATGCATATTATGGAATGTCTAAATCATTTAAAAAAATTTATTAATAAAGTTGTAATAATATATGTAATTGTCATCTTTTTATATCTTAGAATTTTATAATCTTTTCAAAAATAATGATAAATGACTTTAGCATATAACTTATATTTACAATATAAGTTATAGTTTAATATAATTAGTATGTATTGATTTTGATTGATTTGTCGATTCTGAACGATGATAATCGATAATCAATCCTTTTCTATATTTCATATTTATCTTTAGACGATCTTCAGCCACAACAATTAATGATGAGGCATTATATTATTAAATATTATATATTATAATCAATTATATTGTTCGGGTAGTACATAGGAAATATCATCCCAAGGATGACGATAAAGACCTTGCTTTAATCTTTTCTGATCCATATAATGACCTAAAAAAAAATGATAATTAATAATATTTATCTTCTTACATAATGTATATTAATGCACATAAATATATAATATAATACCATACCAATAAATCCTATACTTCGACCAAGGACAAATAAGCTATTTATGGCACCTATTTCAATATATTCTTGTGCTTCTTCTCTCGTAAAACTACCACTGTTTCGCAACATATCGACGAAGGCGCAAGCAATAATACCATCCACATTAAGAATTAAATTAGGTTTTTTGCTGGTTGTTATTTTTTCAACTTCTAAGGCATATTCAACTAAAGGTTTTGCTGGAAAATTCTCTAACACAAATTCCTTGATAAGTTTTACACGCATATCTGGATTATTGATCGACTTAACACGATGGCCAATACCCATAATCAACTCGCCCTTCTTACGTGTATTATTTACAAATTCTTGTGGATGTAAACCGGCATCATATGCCTCAGAAAACATACGAGCTGCACCATCCAAGGCACCACCAAAACGATCTCCCTGTGGATTAATAACTCTGTAATTCTCTTTCTCTGTCTCCCTCTTCCCTCTTCTCTCCCTCCCTTCCTTCCTCTCTCTCTCCTTTCTTTTTTTCCTCTTTCCTTCTTTCTTTTTTTCCTTCATATTGTTTACTAAGCTTTTATTATTTACTTACAATTGTGAGAAGTCCAGAAACAAGAGAGCTAACCAGATCTTTTCCAGCACGTGCACAAACAATAGTGTTATGAGCACCAGAAACAGCTGGGCCATGATCTGCTGTGAGCATCAGCGACATTTCAAGAAATTTACAGTAGGTTGATGGCAAGCAACGTTGAAACCACAGAAGCGAGACAACACCACCGATACCTACATTTTGTTTCAGAACCTCGGTTACAGGCATACCAGCATACAATAATTCTTGCCCACGTTCATCACAAATGGATGTCATAAATGATGCAGGTTTACGAATTAAACCAAGTTCCTGTACAATAGAAAATATTATGTACATTAATGTTTTTGTCTTAAATAAATAACTAATGTGCACAAAAACAAACCAATGTTCATTTTCAATATATACAAAATATTCTAATATAATATTATAAGTTATTATAATCTATTATAAGCTAATGTTTATAGATGATTCTTATATTTAAGACTGTTTTAAATATAGTCTTAAGATGTCATAAATCAAAGAAGATATTAACATATCTTAAGACATAATGTAAGATCTGATGGTCTTAAAATATGAATAGAAAAATATCGGTCACAGTCTTTCCATACGATTATTTCTGAAACTATTCATTATTCGAAAAAATATTTTTAGTAAAATCTATTCTGTTTCGAGGAATACATCATAATAAGCACATATTTTTTCTATGTGAAGGTTGAAATCTCTGATATTTCAAAGTGATCTTTGTGTTTTTTTTCAATAAATTCATATTTTTTTGTTACATAATATAATTCTTCTAGTTATTCTTCTGCATATAAAAGTATTTAGATAGTTATCAAGAAATCAATAATTTATGAAATATTTTATACTTTATTTCTAGCATATTTTGGTACAAAATATAAAATATTTGGAAAACTATTCATTTCTCAACTTAACTATTCGTACCTTAATATTTTTATGCATAATAATGAGATAAATTGATTGGTGTAGAGAAAACATATAGTTGTTTTGCAAAAATTGTGTTGTGTATATTGCTAATTGAATAATTCTTTTTAAAACAACTATACATATTTCTCTTATATCAATTAATTCTTCTCATTGTTCTGCGCATATAAAAGTATTAAGATATGTTGTCATAAATAAATAATTTACGAGATATTTTATGTCAAAATAAATTATCTTGTGAACTATTGACAAATGTATCTTATTGACAAATGTATCATAATATTTTTATATCCAGAACAACTAAAGAAATCATATTACATAACAAGAAATATACAATTCCATTTAAAAAAACGATGAATATAAAAAAAATCTCAACAATAGTTCCTGTGAATGAGTATCATCATCATGTGATTCCTTCGAAACTCTACAATTTTTATCTGACATATTTTTCTTTATCTTTCAAATTTTTTGAGATATTTGTCTAGATAGAGTAGTAAGATATTCTATATAAATACTGAAATTATTTGATTTTTAAAACTCGGTTGTTGTATCATTTTATTTTGTCTCGGACAGTTATATCGGACAGTTGTATCGGACAGTTATATTTTATAACACCCAGATAAAAAGCGAAGGTGTGCTAATGCTGTAATCGGCTCGATCACGAACCAGTCATGAAAATTCGCAATTATTATTTTTGCGAAAGGTATCATCTCAGCCAGGAATCGAACTGGATCTGCTTATCGAGCAGACATCTTATCTTTTCTATTACCGAGGCATGTGATATTTTTCGCAACGTGCTTAGAACAACACATTAAACAATACAATGTCATACACATATATACGTATATTATAATATACATGTATATTCTCGAATCCTCATGACTGATACCCCAGAGCGATGATGGCATCGATGAATGCCAGGTCGGACATCAACGGTGACATCCTTCAACGCCACTGGCAAATATACAAATAATCTTCCTGGTGTGCGGCAAGAAATAATGTGCAGTAATTTCTTACGTTATGTAGCTTTATTTTTTAGTTTTTTTGAAAAGCACAATAATTCCATAATTTTAAAATTTGTAAAATGCGGCGAATTGAAATATTTGTCTGATAACATAAAATTACAAAATAATTTCTGAAATAACAGCCATGACAGCTGAGAACAACTAAAAAATAACCCGTTATTAACGCAATATGGTTATAGCGAAATAGCCAGGTCTGAAGCAAAAATGTTTTTGCAAATTTATTTTTATTAAATTCGGTATATTTTCTTGGGAAATAACTTATTTTACATTTTATATTGTTGTTAAGCTCTTTTCTGATAACGCGAAAATGATTTATAATAAATCAACGAATAAAACTTACTCTAGCCCATCCATAATCCATTGGTACTGTTGGAACTGGAACTTCAGGTTCTGGTATTATTGTACCATCTTTTACTAATTGTTCATAAACAGTTTGTATGATTTCACCAAGATTGTCAAAACTATTTGGTACATATGCACCAGCAGTCTTCAATGCTGTATTTTTTGCAGAAGCTGTTTCAAGATTAGAATGTGCAATAGAACCAGCATGACCAAACTGCACTTCAGAATTGAACATACTGGCGCAGGTACCAATACACCAAGCTATCAACGGCTTTGTAATTCTGCCTGTTTTCAATGCTTCACATACTTCATACTCTTCAATACCACCGACTTCTCCAAGTAATACAATCAGTTTTGCATCAGGATTATTTTGATAACGCATTATGTGATCCATAAAAGTAGTTCCTGGATATCGATCTCCTCCAATTGCAATACCTTCTAATACTCCATTAGAAGCTTTAGAGATTATATTATTTAATTCGTTTGACATGCCACCAGAACGAGAAACATAAGCGACACTGAAAATAATGTTACTGTAATCAATTAAATAACGAACTATTATCCTATCTATATATTATATTACCTGCCAGGTCTATATAATTTACTGTGCAGAATATTATCCATCATTCCGCCAGTATTTCCGATTTTAAAACAACCTGGTTTTACACCTCCCACAGTTGCTGGTCCAATTATAGTCACATTTCTTCGTTGTGCCGCTAGAATTAATTTTCTGGTCATATTTTCTGGTATACCTTCCGCGATTATGGCAATTGTTCTGATTTGTGAAAATTGCAACGTTTCCATAGTACTTTCATAAGCAGATCTTAAAGAGGCAAATGTGACCATTACATCGGCGTCCATATGTTTAGCCATAGCATCTTTCATTTGTTTGTAAACAGGAATAAGAATCTATTCACAAAAAGTAAATATTTATACTAATGATATGAAGATGTATTATTTTATATTATTTAACATATACAATTTTACAAAATATCTTTTTAATAATGCTAGATTGTCATTTTTTGTTTTATTTAAAACTTACTTCTTTATGACCCCAATAAAACTTTTGTTTGTGATCGCCAGTAAAAGGATAAACAATAGCAGCGACAGATGGCTCGGATCTTCGGCAAACAAAATCAAAATCCAGCATGCTCTGTACTGCTCTTGTTTGCATTCCCCAAATAATAGATCTTGTATTATTGCTGAAAAGTTGTCTGTTGTCATTATCTGAATCGATTGCATCATTTTTCAGTTTAAGTTGTTCTAATAGCGAATGTGAGTTATTTTTAGATGATATATGTGGCCCAACATCTTGGCCGGAAGGTAAAAGAAAATTTGCAGTTGAGAATTCTTGAGCTTCTGGGTCAGGAATTGGTTTTTTCCCCAACGCCATAGCACATATAGCCGTCATATGTGTTTCAGGACCAAATACATGAACAGGAATTCCTAAACGTCTACCAACTTCTCGTATTATCCTGTTAAAACATTATTATTTAAACATTACAGATATATACAAACATATATGCAATATACAAATATTCTATTCACATTATTCATAATAGGAAATTTCATTTTTACCTTAAACCCTCTTGATAATTAGGTCCTGCTCTTCTTACAAAAATTCTTATATCATATTCTACTAGTTTAGGCTGATATTCTTGAAGAGCTTTAACAATGCCTTTAAATGTTGCAGCTACATTTGTGAAATTAGCAATTCCTCCTCCTATAATAAGTACTTTTCCATCAGAACGCTTTGTTTTAGTCATCAAACTTAATATGGTTTTTGCATATTCATAAGTTTGTTGTTCACTAGGTGCACCAGAATATTCACCATAATTGGCCAATTCATTGGCCGCTCCTAAGTCACAAATTGTATCTGAATATATTACAGATGCACCTATAAAACATTGATTTAAATAATATTCAAATGCAAAGATATTATTTCATATAAGAAATATAATTATAAAAGAGTAAACATAATTTGTTGTATATATGATCATATCTACAAACCACCACCAGCAACCATTGTCCATATGCGACCATCTGGATTAAGAATTGTCAACTTTAAACTGGCACCAGACTTAGCATCCAAATCAGTTATATAGGCTTCTTCTGGATAAGCATCTCTTCCAAATGGTGGTGGATAATCAATTTCTCCCCAATCTGGTTTACATATGAAATCTGCCGTAGTGTCTAGCTTAGCCGCAAGATCAAGAATATAAATCGCAGTATCCGTTATTACCAATGGATTGATCTCCAAATATGTAAAATATAAATTAATATAGAGTTTATAAAGAGATTCTATAAATTCAGCAATCACTCTAAAATAAAAAAATATATAAATAGAAAACTAAAAGTCTATATATAATAAGTATCATTTAAAATAATTAAATATCATTACACTTTTTTATCATCCATCACATTTATTAAAAGTTTATTAATCAATGTAGACCGATGAGGTATTTCGCTACCAACCGGTATGTCTAATTTCAAAGCTTTAACATCAACATCACCGACATCAACACCACCTTGATGATGAAATAATATTGTATCAGCTTTGCGATGAGAATAGATACAGATATAAGCTTCTTCTTCCTATAAATACAAATACATATCATATGCTTGTAAATGTATAATAATTAGAGATATTCGTGTGATTTTCTATGTCGCGCGTAGAGCACCATTGCACATGAGTTAAGTCTTTATAAGAAATCTTGCTATTTTCAACAATGCTCGTGTGCAATGGTGCTCTGCGTACAGCATAAGAAATTGCACGAATGTTCGGGCACTAATAATAATTATATAGGAAAGATAATTATATAGGAAGGAAAATATGTTGTACAATCAAGAAGGGAGTTGTAATTCTATAGTACAAAATTAATCAAAATAATAGAATAAATCATTTCCAATAATGCGTTTTCAAAAAAAGAAGACTTAGAAAATTGACGAAATATGCATATGTATATATTCGATTAATATTTAGCATAACAATTTTCGCTAAGACATTCTGTTTTTATCAATTTTGTATGTTTTA